CCTTGTGGTCTCTTCCAACTCTATGATTCTATGATTCTATGATGGCTATATATTTTCTCTGGTACTTGAGGAAGCATGCTTCTCAACATTAGCTCCTGTGAGCCATAACCAAGAGGAGACTACTATGCTCATATATTACTTATGGGCTTCTCACAGGCAGCTGCTTGGTCACAATGCAATCTAAATGATAGACTAGAGAACCTCAGTTTGATCCACCTAGACTCTTCATATGTTCTTAGAAAGTCATAAAGATGAGGCTAATAAGATTTCCCCATTATAGTGTGTAGTATATTACTAGTTAACTAGGTGGGGAGGTTGATAGTATACTTGCTTGCAGTGCTCTGTCAACATTATTTCAATTCTTCTTTAAAGTCTCTTTTTACAAATGGCCAAGCCTGACCCAGATAAACCTGTGAGGTCTGCCAGAGGAATCAGTGTATGATGATACAAGTGGAGGTAAAAAAAAAACACATTTATTTCTGTCTCTATAAGGTTTCAGCCACAGTGTTTTTGGTTTGTTTGGGGCTTTTTTTAACCTTCAAGCTCTGGTTGGTTGAGTCATTTATTTAGGAACTGATTAACATAGCACTCAAGCTCCTCAGACAGCTTTATAAATCAAAATAAATGTGCCAGACTGCTGTTTTTACACAAGACTTTAATTTTAGACTACCCATCATTTCTTGCCGCACAGTAAGCATTGGCATGGCTACATCACACAAAAAAGATGTCTTTAAAAGTGATGGTCACACAACTGACTACTAATGACAGAATTACATATTAAGTGGGCTTGGTTGAACTTTCTTCCTTCCCTTTCATCCGAATCTCAAAGGAACATAGGGTTATGTTAACTATTAGTATTGTTTTCATTTTTACCTTTTAAATTCTAAACCTCTCAAAGATATGTGCATGGTTGATGTCTAAAACTATTTACATGTACTCTAAAAATAATTTAGATTTTTTTGTGTTATATGTGAATTATAGTAAAGACTTTATTAATATCCCTCTAAACAAATGTTTCAGCTCAACTGCTTAAAAAAAAAAACCCCAATAATTTCTTAGATAGTTTTTTGTGGGTTTTTCAGGCTGTGTGGCCATGTTCTAGAAGAGTTTCTTTCTGACGTTTTTTGAAGATGCCAGCCACAGATGCTGGTGTAACATCAGAAAGAAACTCTTCTAGAACATGGCCACACAGCCCGAAAAACCCACAAAAAACTATGGATGCCAGCCATGAAAGCCTTCGACTTCACAATTTCTTAGATACTTATACAGTATGCAAGATTAACGTGACATTCCTAATTCCTTTTTACTGAAAGAAAAAGTTAAACCAGATCACAATCAATTTAGGACAATGTGTTTTTTTCCAGAAAATTATGAGACCACCTCACAGTAACAGCTCTGAATTTAGCACCATGCTAGAAAAAGCAGGTCCACAACACCATCCCATCTAGAAGCCCTATTAACACCAAGCTTTCCTTCCTCCAACTGCTGGTTGAATGGTTAATCATCACAATGCTAAAATAAGTAGGAACAAGATGTGTGAAAAGATCATGGGATTCAAACTCCCACAATATCTTAGCAACATCATCTAGAGCTTTTCACTTTTAAAATTTCCTATTTTAAGCAGGTTAAGGTTATTTCAGCATGACCTGAAATAACAAAGAGTGAATAATGCTGGGAGTTGCAGACCAACACAATCTGGAGGACCACATATTTCCCACTACTGCTTTATAAGAAAGGCCTGATATACTAAGCATCCCAGAATTCTGTGCCCATGGAAATTTGTAACCACAATCAATCTCAATTCCTCACCTGCAAAATATAAACAATAGTGATCCAACTGAACCTGATGGCTGTAGAAATTTGTTGTTGCTGTCTTTGTGTGCCTTCAAATCGTCTCTGACTTATGATAACCCTATGGTGAATATGGTGTAGTGGCTTGAACATTGGACTATGACTCTAAAAACCAGGGTTTGAATCCTGGCTCGAAAACCCAATGGGTGACCTTGGGCAAGTCACACTCTCTCAGCCTCAGAGAATGGCAATGGCAACCCCACTCTGAAGAAATGTGCCAAGAAAACCCCATGATAGGTTCCCCTTAGAGTAGCCATATGTTTGAAACACCCTGAAGGCACACAACAACAACAACAACAACAACAACAACAACAATGCCATCAGTTGAGGATGGTTTGATTTTGAGTTCCTGCATCACCCCTGTGGTCTCTTCCAACTCTATGATTCTATATCACGTGGTTTTCTGGAACTGAGAGTGTGTGTCTTGCCCAAGGTCAATAGGTTTGCATGGCTCAACAGTGAATTGAACCCTGGTCTCCAAGATCATAGCCCAATGCTCAAACCACAGCACACTTGCTGCTGAAATACAAGAAGCATTATGAAGCACTTTCCACACAAGAAATGCTATGCATACATCCCCACTTCCAATTATGCACAGAAGTGTTATCTGTAACACTTAAGATAACAATGCTTTGAACCTTGTGCTTCATTTCCCTGCACTAGAGCTTTTGTTGTTCTTGTTGTTGCTGCTGTGTGCCTTAATTTCCAATTTACGGCAACCCTAAAGTGAACTATCATGGGATTTTCTCTGCAAGATTTGTTCAGAAGTTTTCCATTGCTTTCTCCTAAGGCTGAGAAGTTGTGACTTGCTCAAGGTCAACCAGTGGGTTTCATTGCTGAGCTGGGAATCGAACCCTGATTTCCAGAATCCTAGGCCAACACTCAAACCACTAAGCCATGCTGGCTTTCCAGCCGCAGGGTACTGGAAGGCATATGAGAATGGGCAACGCAGGCGATGGGGTGGAGGGATAACAGTACTTCAGTATGTGTAAATCTCTCCTCATATTAACATTTCTCATAATTTAAGTGTATATGTATATGTTTTGGGGAGTGGAGTTGCGAAATTACATAAACTGTAAAACTAAAAGTTTGCATTTCTCTTTTTTAGGGTTGTGCAACAATCCTGCAATCCTGAGAGCCAGTGTGGTCTAGTGGTTTGAGTGTTGGACTATGACTCTGGAG